ATGCATTATGTTTTAAGTTTTGTAGGTAATCCAGTAAGTGACCGTTCTCCTAACGGGAGCAATCTTCGCTCCTGTTTCCGTTCAACATTCGAATCCTGCAATTATTTCAAACGCAACCAACCACCATCAGTTACCCACTTTTACTTGATATCCATTCAGATACTCATTTTTAGATACATCCATAACTTTTCAGATTCACATTTATGATTTTGCGTAAATTCATCTGATATAGTTCTGCCCAAAAGAACCCTTTTCCGAAACATACGACCATTCTTATAACAATTCCATCAGTTCAATTCACCGATGGATCCAGAACTACACACGGCCTGATTTTTGTAATACCGGGGATATGTAGGAAACTCAGGAACCAGGGTTCGGCCCCCATTTTTTCAAATCATACTATCCCTCGTTCAATTCGGTCAAAATCGGTCATCATTTTCTTTACCCGATAACTCTTTCATCATTCCTAGGTAAAAAGGGGCAGCTGTTGATACCCAATTTTCCCCTCATATTTTTCAAATACATATATACTTTTAAAATAGCATATTTGCATCATTATTTAGTTTATAAACCTATACAAGCATTTTCTATAATTTTTCCATAATGTATAGAGCTTTAAATTAATTTTTCTTATATTCTAATTATAGATAAAATCCTTTAAATTATTTTTGTGATGACTTAGTTGCCTAAAATAATTGTTTTGCACCTATAATATATGTTTCAAATATTTTATTTTATTCCATATAATTACATTAGCATTTTTAAGCTATTTATCTAATTTTGCAATAATGGCCTATATTCTACAAATACTTGCGTTTATTATATTATTTATGCCAAAGTATCATTTTATATTTTTATAAGGTTGAGTTATTATTTTTAAAATAGTTTTACAGCATAAATATTATTTTTACTATTTATTAGAAGTTTTAATAATTTTTTTTTAATTAATTTTTAAGGGTTTCAAGAGCTGGTCCAAAACAGGCTAATTTTCGGACCGAATTTTGGCCCAAACCATTAGCCCAACACCCCAATTACCCCAAGCCCAACACCAGTGACCCAATACCCTATACCCGTCCATTAACCTGACCCAACTCTTTTAAAATCCTGGCATTTGATCTCTAAGATCAACGACCCACAATCAATCCCCTCTTTTTATTATCCTAACCCCTAACCCTAATCCCCATTACCTATTGAACCGCCGCCCTAAAATCCTCTCCCATCTCTCCCACCAAACCCCTACTTGCCCTTTCAATCTTTTCTGAATCCATCTCAATCATGGATTCCTTCCATGATTCTTGCCTTTTATATGTTACCTTAGTATTATTTGCAAGAATATGGAATTACATAATACTTGCCCTAATTTTGGCAAGTACAAGTCCTCAAATCGGATTGCACCGCCTTCAACCTTTGAGATTTAGATGATATTTCATCTATATGCACTCACTATCAGGTTATATGGTCCGATTTAGTGAGACTTTCGACCATCTGTGCTTTCCTTTTGAACTAGGGTTCGAGATTTTCCTTTATTCTTTACTGATTTTCGATTGATACTCTTCCCTTTCTCGCGTTCGGCCGATATTTTTCTTATTTCTGTTTAACCCACCGTATTTCCCTATTTTTACTTTTATTTGCCCAAAGACTGACTTTAATTGATTTTCGTATGATATTTCCTTATTCTCTGTTCAATCTATTGTATTCCCTTATTTTAAGTGTTATTTGCATGTTATTTTTCCTTATTCTCTATTTAATATACTGAACTTCCTATTCTATGTATTATTTGCCCTTAATTGATTCTAATTGATTCTGGCATATTTCCTTATTTTGTGTTTAATTTTACCAGGTTTCCTATTTTATGTGTGAAATATGCTACTATATAAACCCCTCCCCTAAAACCCCTTAGAGAGGGATTTGAATCCTAATTCCTACTACTGTTTTCACTACTCTCTTCTCTCACTCACTCACTCATTGTTACACTCGAACACTCTCTAAATTATTGAACAACCTCCTCTGGTGCAAGCACTGCTCGGAGCCCATTTTCGAAGCTTTTATGAACTCTGAAGCATCGGGGATTTGGGGTTTTTACTATTACACTCTTCATTCTTTGATTCTGCTACTGGTTAGTATCTAAACTCTTGCAATGTTCAATTTCCCTCCTTTTTTTGCAATATGTATTTGAACTTGCATGAGCATGATTCAACTATGATAATGTTCAACATTTTGATGTCAGTCTGTGTTAATTAAACACATGAGATAACCTGCTATTTGTGTTATGCTTCTCTATGATTTACACTTTGTGATCTCTTGTCTTCTGAGATGGGTTCTGAACCCTGTAGCATATTAACATGATTAGTTTTGGACTTCAATAGCAGTCCATTTCAACATGAGCTTGACTATTGTGATTGTATGTTGTTAAGTTACCAATTTCTGCATATTGTGTTTAGATATTACCCTAACTCTATGGAAATCCCCCCTTTACTTGAATAAACCTTTTGGTACTGAGTTCTGTGTATATTGGAATGCTCTTTGTGTATTAGCCCTAACTCTACGGAATGCTGCCCTAAATTCTACTCTAAACTTGTTTCATGCTATCCTGATTTTCTAAAAGACAAACACTCTATTTTCTATTGACTAGGACTTTACTCCTACGCTAATACTTTTCCAGTATGCCTTGGTTTATTTGTTATTCTATCCTTTCTGTGATTATCAATGTGTGTATCCCTCCATCATGGCTAAGTATTGAATAATATGGCATTAGGTTAGACTTAACTTAATTTAGACCCTTAGGTTTCAACCAGTTCAACTTCATGCAACCTATGTATGTCTGCAAACCTATTTCTTCTCCTAATTTCTGTGATGGTTGTCTATGTGGTACTTTGGCTATGTGAACCTTGTTGAATTTACTGGGCTGCTTGACCAGCTATGTTGTATGCTCAGTCTGGTGATTTCTGTCCATTCCCCTTACTTGTTACTCTAATATTTTAAATTCCTATTCTTAGCCGGCTGAAAGCCAAGGCTACCTAGGTTCTATTGTTGGCCTCCCTAGTGTGAGCACTGCTCGGGGTCCAATTGAGGCCCTTGTGAACTCTGACACACTAGGGCTTGGACCTAGTCATTCCTTTAACCTCCAAAACTATCCCTAATACTCTACTTCCCTATCATGTATTGTGTTCTATATTGGTTGTTCCAAATGGTCCAACACTTGGTGTTGTGGCTCATTGAAAGGGGTCTGAACTCCCCTATGGATCTGTGATCGTATTGTTCTGTATTGAAGGCCTAAAGTATGCTATGCCAGAAGTAATGAAGTACTAGTAAGGCTGGGTATCTAGTTATTTTACTTGGGCCTACTCTAGGCCTGTCTACTGTTATGTAATATTGTTACTTTATTCATTATTGGGCCTGTAATAATATTCTTTGTATAAACAATTGGGGTTGTCAGTAAAAGGGAATGGGGTAGATTTTAATATTTACATGCGATGGGTAGATAACATGCCTATAAGACTTAATAATGTGTTTGCTATATGTGTCGTTCACTCTCTATGTACACTATAGAGATCATGCTATTAGGAGAAGCACACACTCACACTACTTGTCTACTAGCAAAGCATGAGCTCAAATGCTTCAATTATCCTCGTTGCTATATGTTATTAGAAAACATACCCATAGGAAATAAATATCGTTGAACATTCCTTCAATTTGCATTGCTAGAAATCATGCCTATAGGATTTGGATCATTTCATTTGCTACTGTATTGCACTGTTCACTAGAAACCATGCCTATAGGACTAAGTATAACGATAAAATTAGTTCCAAGTGCTAATCGTTAAAGATCCTACCTATATGATACCACAATTTGCCTTAATAACTGTTAACGATGCCCCTCTCAACATTGTTTATTGTTCACTTAGACCACTATCAAAAGCATGAGTAATTCTGGGTTTCTCCCGATAGATTCCACTGCCTTTACTACATAAATCACTTAGATGCAACATCTACATGATTAATAACTGGAAATCTGCAATTTCAACAATCAATATGCGACAACTGTACCATCCTGTGTATGGGTGACACTTGGTTTCTGAAACTGCTTGCATGCCTTAACGCCTTGTCATATAGAAATCATGTCTATAGGGATCTAAGTTCTTGATTCTGAACTGCTCAACATACAATTTGTCTTGCGTGAATTTGTTGCTTAAGTGTGGAGGCAAACTTGAGCCTTGGCTGCCTATATGTGAAGTCCAATGTGTTTTGTATGTCGCTTAGTTTTGACATTTCTGAACAACCTAAGCGAGGTCTAGAACCATCCAAAGTAAAGGTCCAATACCTCATGGACCATAGGTATGGGACGAGTAGTGCACGCATAGGGTATGACCTATAATTGAATTAGAACGCTTTTAGGTAACAACTTTAACATAGTAACCGGGTAGCAGGAGATGATAGTCTGTGCCCGCTGAAAAATATGAGTAATACCCCATCTTGAGGGAGTTACGAAGTATTATTATGTTGCACGGGGTGATCCTTTAGGCCAAAAAATTTAGCACCTCCCTCCTCTTTATATGTTGTTATTAGATCTAAATAGTTGTATCCCTATATTCGCACTAAGATCTGTATTAATCATGTTGTAATAAAGTTCTTTGACTTCTGAATTCCCTTTGTTTACTTGATCACCTAGCTTAATCGTAATCCACATAATCTTAAGTTCGGCCAGGACCCATAGTTTTGGACCTCGAAGAGTGTCTAACACCTTCTCTTTGATGTAACTTAAGCCTTTACCCGATCTTTGGTGGCGTTGACTAGTCAAACAGAGTTATCTGTATAATAGGTGCCCTAACGCACCTTAAAAATTGTTAGGTGGCGACTCTTCTTGTTTAGCACTCTATCTCCCATTCTAAAAGGAGTTGTCACTTGTCGAAGCCCGCTTTTCGCGAGAAAAATGGGGGCGACACAATTTGTTAGCCCGTTGTGAAGAAACAAATCTAGTGTTGAATTGGGAAATCACATTTTATGGTGCAGGAAGGCATCATGTTGGGTCACAGAGTGTCTAGAAGCGGTATTGAAGTTGATAAGGCAAAGGTGGAAGCGATTGAAAAATTACCTCCACCCATTTCTGTGAAGGGTGTCCAGAGTTTCTTGGGACACGCGGGGTTTTATCGGCACTTTATTAAGAATTTTTAAAAAATTGCTACTCCTTTGTGCAGGTTGCTTGATAAAGAGGTAACTTTCAATTTTGATGATGCCTGCCTGAAGGAATTTGAAAAGCTCAAAACGAAACTGGTGGCTTCCCCCATTATTTCGGCACCGGATTGGTCCTAACCATTTGAACTTATGTGTGACGCAAGTGACCATGCTATTGGGGAAGTGCTAGGCTAGAGGAAGGACAAGGTGTTTTATTCCATCTACTATGAGAGTAAGACTCTTGATGATGCACAACTGAATTACACCACCACTGAAAATGTGTTGTTAGCCGTTGTGTGGGCCTTTGAGAAATTTCAGGCATACTTAGTGGGAATGAAAGTCATAGTCCATAACTATCATGCATCAATCAAGTATCTATTTACAAAAAAGGAATCTAAGGCTAGATTGATGTGCTGGGTTTTGTTGTTGCAGGAATTTGATGTAGAAATGCGAGATCGAAAGGTCACAGAGAACCAAGTAGTTGATTATCTATCAAGGCTGAAAAATCATGACCACGTGGAGGAGGGTGGAGAAATTAATGAGGCATTTCCTGATGAGCAACTTTTGCTATTATCCAATACCCTCCCCCATGGTACGCGGACTACATGAACTATCTTGTGAGTGGAGTACTTCCTCCTGAAATTGAATTTGAAGCTAGAAAGAGGTTTCTACATGATGTGAACTTCTACTATTAGGACGAGCCATACTTGTACAAGCAGTGTGCTGATCAGTTGATGAGGATATGCATTCCAGAAAAGGAGGTGGAATTAGTGTTGTATGATTGTCATGCATCACCTTATGAGGGCCATCATGGAGGCGATAGAATAGCTGCAAAGGTATTACAATCCGATTTTTTTTGGCCAACATTATTCAAGGATGCCCATGCATTTGTTAAGAAGTGTGACCAGTGTCAAAGAACAGGAACAATCACAAATAGGCATTAGATTCCTTTGAATAACATCCTAGAGGTCGAGATGTTTGATGTGTGTGGGATAGATTTTATGGGACCATTCCCTTTGTCTAGAGGAAACAAATACATCTTGCTACCAGTTGACTACGTGTGAAAATGGGTAGAGGCGATCGCATTGCCAACAAATGATGCCATGGTGGTAGATGCGTTTGTGAAAAAGAACATATTCTCGAGGTTTGGGACTCCACGTGCCTTGATTAGTGATGAAGGGACACATTTTTGCAATCGGTTGTTGAATAACCTCCTAGCTAAATATGGAGTCCGCCATAGAGTTATTATGGCGTATCATCCTCAAACAAGTGGACAACCTGAGGTGTCTAACAGAGAAATAAAGCAAATCTTAGAGAAGACAGTGTGTGTGAATAGGAAGGATTGGGCTGCAAAGTTAGATGTTGCCTTGTGGGCATATAGAACTACATAAAAAATGCCAATTGGGGTGTCGACGTATAAGCTTGTTTATGGGAAGGCATGTCACTTGCCTGTTTAACTTGAACACAAAGCGTATTGGGCCATTAAAAATTTGAACATAGACCTTGAAGTCACGGGGTGAGAAGAGACTCTTGCAGTTGAATGAGTTAGATGAGTTCAGGCTGCACTCTTATAAAAATGCTAAGCTTTACAAAGAGAAAACGAAAAGATGGCATGACAAGCGTATCAAGCCACGTCACTTCGAGCCAGGCCAACATGTATTATTGTTCAATTCTAGGCTCCAGTTGTTTCCTGGGAAGTTAAAATCGAGATGGTCAGGCTCGTTTGAGGTGGTGAGAGTCACTCCTTATGGTGCAATTGAGTTGCGTGCTTTAAATGGTGAAAGGAAATTTTTAGTGAATAGACACAGAGTCAAGCACTATTGGGGAGGAATAATCGATCGTTAGAAGACCAAAGTTCTACTCGCTGATTAGTCAAGCACTCGTTAGAAGCACTATTGAGTGTCCGGACAGCGGACCAATAGCAAATCTCGATCAACTTGAGCCGGTATCAAAATCTGAACAGAAAGTGCAGCGTGCAGCATCAATACAACCGACCCCGTGTACTGGTAAGTGTCGAGCCTAACCTCGACGAAGTAGTGATGAGGCTAAGGCAAGGCGCCTACAATCAACCTGTACAATTTAACAGTGTATACGCAAATAACAGGAATGAAGAACTAAGCAGGAAATGTCGGGAGGGGAGACATATTGAGGGGAATACAAGATAAAGAACTACAACAGNATGATAACCGGAGCAGTCAACATACCATGAATCAACAAGAATAGTGTATACAGTAAAGGAAAAATGCACGGCATCACCCTTTGTGCTTTTACTCTCAATCTCACCATAAAATTAATAGAAACGACACTAACATCACCCTTCGTGCATTAACTCTCATATCATGGCACGACATTACCCTTCGTGCATTAACACTCACAATATGGCACAACATCACCCTTCGTGCATTAACACTCACAATATGGAACGGCATCACCTTTTGTGCATTAATACTCACAATATGGCACGACATCACCCTTCATGTATTAACACTCTCCCTTACCATAATGCAATGCATAAATAACAACAGGGAGATAGAATAACAAGTACAAACCTTACTTCAACATTTGGTTCCATAATATTAATCTCAACTTGAAATAAAAACTCAATTATCACCAGAAAATTTTGTAAACATGATGAGAGCGATAATTTGAACAACACTAGTATAACACGTAGCAATTTGGCATAGGAATGAGACAACATCCAAAAAACAGAGGAATAACGGGTAAATTGGCGGCACATAGGTACTCGTCACCTCACATATATGCCGCTCACATGAATTTCACTTAGCAAACAATCTAAAGTTCCTAATTCCCTCAAGTCAGATTTAGACACAACATTTACCTCGCTCTGAATGCCTCTTAATTCTCAATCACAGTTTTTTCTTTGGAATTCACCTCCAAACCACTCGTATCTATTCAAAAATGACTCAATAATATCAAATATTTCTAAAGGAATCAATTATATTGCGTAAATTAAATTTTCCAAAATTTCCTCCAAAAAGTCGAAAAATCGACCCCGGGCCCACTTGGTCAAAACCCGAGGTTCGGACCAAAATCCTTTTACCCATTCAACCCCCGAGCCCGAATATGTAATTAGTTTTGGAATCCGACCTCAAATTGAGGTCTAAATCCCCAAATTCCCGAAATCCCTATTTTCTACCCTAACCCCTAATTCTACCATGAAAACTCTAGTTTTAGGTTGAAAATTCAAGAAATGTAATGGGTAATTGAAAGAAGATGGTTTAGAATCACTTACCAACAATTTGGGGAAGGAATGACTCTTGAAAACTCGCCCCTCACCGTTTGGTTTTTGAGAAAAATGAGTTTTTTGGCAAAAATACCGTTTTGGGTTCTGTTAAGTGCTGGGCGACAGTGTTCATCGCGTTCGCGAGAGCACTGTCACGTTCGCGAAGGGTACTGGCTGCCAAGCCTTCGCGTTTGCGAGACCCAGCTCGCGTTCGCAATGATCACTCCCATCTGGCCTTCGCGTTCGCGAGGAATGGCTCGCGTTCGCGCTGAAGGAACGACCAACCCCCCAGGTCCCCACATGCTTCGCGTTCGCGTTCGCGAAGAAGAAGTCTCAGCCTCATCAGATTACTCTTCGCGTTCGTGAGAGGACCTTTGCGAACGCGAAGAAGGATATGACAGAAACCAGAATCTGTAGAAACTAGATTTTTCCCAAGTCAAAAACATCTGTGGCCTATCCGAAACTCACCCGAGCCCTCGGGGCTCCAAACCAAACATGCACACAAGTCCAAAAACATCATACGAACTTGCTCGCACGATCAAATCGCCAAAATAACACCTAGAACTCTAAATTTAGCACCAAATCAAATGAAATTCTCACAAACACTTTAAAACTTCTAATTTCTCAACTGGACGTTCGAATCACGACAAATCAACTCCGTTTCAAACCAAATTTCACAGACATGTCTTAAATATCGTAATGAACTTGTACCGTGCTCTGGGACCATAATACGGACCCGATACTCACAATGCCAAATATCAATCAATTCTTAAAAACAAATAATTTCCAAACTTTTAATTTTCATCAAAAATTTATAACTTAAGCTAGGGACCTCCAAATTCGATTCCGGGCATACGCCCAGGTCCCATAATTCGATACGGACCTACCGGGACCGTCAAAGCATGGATCCGGGCCCGTTTACTAAAAATGTTGACCGAAGTCAACTAAAATTAACTTTTAAGGCAAAAATTCTTATTTTAATTAGTTTTCAACATAAAAGCTTTTCGGAAACCTGTCCGGACTGTGCACGCAAATCGAGAAGGGTAAAAATGAGATTTTTAAGGCTTAAGAGCGCAGATTCGAGTTCTAAAACATAAGATGACCTCTTGGATCATCACATTCTCCATCTCTAAAACAACCGTTCGTCCTCGAACGGACATAGAAAAATACCTGGGCTGGTGAAAAGGTGGGGATATCTACTCCACATATCAGACTCAGACTCCTAAGTAGCTGCCTCAATAGGCTGGCCTCTCCACTGCACTCGAACTGAAGGGTAACTCTTTGACCTCAACTGACGAACCTGCCGGTCTAGAATGGCCACCGGTTCCTCCTCGTAATTCAAATCCTTTTCCAACTGGACAAAGCTGCAATCTAACACGTGGGACAGGTTACTNCAAGGCCTCCTGAACTAAATCTGTACCCAATAACCGAGCCTCCCCTGGCTCGAACCACCCAACTAGCAACCTATACCGTCTACCATATAATGCCTCATAGGGAGCTATTTGAATGCTCGACTGGTAGCTGTTATTGTAGGCAAACTCCGCTAACGGCAAAAACTGATCCCAAGAACCTCCAAAGTCAATAACACAGGCGCGAAGCATATCCTTCAAGATCTGAATAGTACGATCGGACTGCCCGTCTGTCTGAGGATGAAATGATGTACTCAACTCAACCCGTGTACCCAACTCACGCTGAACTACCCTCCAAAAGTGCGAGGTAAACTGCGTACCTCAATCAGAAATGATAGACACGTGAACACCGTGAAGACGGACGATCTCACGAATATAAATCTCTGCCAACCGCTCCAAGGAATAGGTAACTGCCACAGGAATGAAATGCGCTGACTTAGTCAGCCTGTCCATAATGATCCAAACTGCATTGAACTTCCTCTGAGTCTGTGGGAGTCCAACAACAAAATCCATAGTGATATG